CTTAAGGAGAAGGAGACAGATTTTCTTAAAACCAAACTGAGGGGCGCCAGCGAGCTAACAGAAACGTGTTGAAGAGGGATTGGAACGAGAAAGAAAAAATCAAGAAGATGAAGAAAGACGCTTGTATGTGCCAATCTCATGTTCACATTTCACACCAAGCCCCTCTCCCCAAAATAATAATAATAACTTGTCTCTTTCTTTTGATGTAGAGAGAACCCGAACTTTATGCTGAGCAAATGCGGGCTAAGTACAAAGAGCTTTCTGAGAGAATTGACCAGCAAAACGACTTAAGACCAACGGGAGCCACACAAATGGAAATAATACATCTGGAGGGGTGGGCCGTGTTGAGAGATTGAATGCTGCCCAGGGAAAGGATGCGCCTCTTAACACGGCTGCCTTTGATAGAGGGAAGGGTGAGGACACTTTTGGTGCAAAAGATGAAGATTGGCAACTCTACAAACTGATGAGCAGAGATAATGACGATGATGACGAGGGAGCAGAAGCGATGAAGCTGAGCTGGCCCGCGTCTCTTCTAGGCTGCAGGTCAGTTTTATCCTAATATGTAATGAGGAGCTCTGAATTTTTCTGACATATTTTTTGTCTGAATTTTTCAATACCAATAATTTCTAATCATCAATCTTCAATGTGGCAGGAGATAGACCCAAAATTTGTTCCCAGCAAGAATTAGTACTTCCACAATCTGCTGCCGAGGCACCACGGCTCCGTCCTCTTACCAAGGAAGATTTCCAAATGTTCTTGGGGTGAAAGTTTCGCTGCCCTGAAATTTTTTTATCCCAACTTGGTTGGAATTGATCAGGTAGGGTTAGACGAGATGGCGGGGGTATCAATAAGAAGATACCATCGAAGGACGAAGATCTGGAACAAAGATTGACAAGTTCAATTTCATGACTGGTGGATGCTGTCTTTTCCCTGGTATGGGTGAGCGCTTAGAAGCAGGAATTCGAATGATTCGACTTGTGGGGCACCCATAAACGTGGTTAGAGCATTAGATCCAGTTCTTGATGCATGGCGGGGTGCTTCTTATATGCTGCTAAGTTGCAGTTTACAGAACAAACATTTACTAGAATGGATTATTATGAGAAGGGTGAGGACTGGCTTCGTAGGTATCAGCTGCGGTATACATTATAATCAGTTGCTCTTCCCACTTGTCAATCATCTCGTGACATGAGATAGCAATTAAAAATTAGTTATATTTAAGACCAAAAATGTTGGATTCTCCGGCAGCTCATTCAGATTGCTGCCATTCTGATGATATAATTTGAATACTATTTTAGCTTTTATAAATGGATAGATGGCTGCCACATATATGTTTCTCACTCAAACCTTGTGGATGAAGTGGGTAATCTGATTTTCGTTATGATTTTGACATATAAAATATCGTCCAAATGGAGGTCAGAAGCAGGAAAAATCATATGGGTATTAAAGAATTAAATGGAACTTTCCATTAATTTACAATATAATATGTTATGTTTTCAGAGACATCCATCCAATTGCATTAAAATAATAAGTAAATAAGATTGTGAATATACTACGGCTATTTTCGATTTTACATTACTTGGCAAAAATAAATCAACTGACAGCTTTGATTTATGAAATTGACCGTTAGAATATTATTGTATATAACGAAACAAATACAAGCTTTCCTTGTTTAAACGTATAAAAGACCGCTCCTTTATGCCCTACTTTGCCATTTCACAAAATTTGACCGTTGCAAATCTTGCTCTTTACAAAACCAAGCTCTCTTGAAAAGCCCTCTCTTTGCTTGCAGAGAGAGGCCTTTTCCCATCTTCTACCTCTCATTTTCTTAAGAAACAAACATACCCACTTCCTCTATCAACTCCAAGAAGCAAAGAGAAAATATCCAAAAAAGCTCACAGAAATGGATTCTCCTCAAACGAAAAAATCTGGGCTTAATCTCCCAGCTGGAATGAACGAGACTTCTCTGAAACTTGATTTTTCGGGTTCTTTTCGCACAATATCGAACCTATCATCACCTTCATCAAGATCATCAACTTGCAGTGATAGATTCATTCCGTGCAGATCTTCTTCAAGATTGCATACTTTTGAGCTCATTGAGAAAGAATCGCCTGTTAAAGAAGGAGGGAATGAGGCTTATAATAGATTGTTAAAGTCTGAGCTTTTTGGGGCTGATTTTGTTTCTGTTTCTTCTCCTGCAGGTAAAGGCTCGCCAATGAGTCCTAGCAAGAATATGTTGAGGTTTAAAACTGACCATTCTCCTGGGCCTAATTCTCCTTACTCGCCTTCAATCTTGGGGCATGATAATGGCTTTTCTAGTGAGACCTCTACTCCGCCTAAGCTGCCAAGAAAAGTTCCTAAAACACCACACAAGGTAAGTGAGGCCTGTTTTATGATATTTGCTACTGCTTTTATGTTGATTTCAGTTCAGGATTTAAGCATCAATTTGAAGATGAAATTAAAACTTTGTGTTAAACGTATTAAAAGTGTGTATCGGTTAAGAGGAAGTTTTGTTTTGAAGAGAACCTTACAGATGAATCCTCTAAGATTGAAAGAATTTATAGGCAGCAGAAATATGTTGGTAGAAAAAACTTAAAACATGGTTGGTAATTGAAAGTCAATGGTTGCAGGTTTTGGATGCTCCATCTCTTCAAGATGACTTCTATTTAAACCTGGTGGATTGGTCATCACAAAATGTACTTGCTGTTGGGTTGGGCACTTGTGTTTATCTATGGACAGCATCAAATAGCAAAGTAAGTTTACTAGTATAGTTATAACAAATAGAAGGGCTGAGTTATCGCAAAATCTTTTACCACTGTATCTCTAATTCTTTTTAGTTGCCGTTGAAAAGCGTCGAATGGGTTTGCTAAAATTCAACATGATCTTATTTTCAGGTAACAAAATTGTGTGACTTGGGGCCTAGTGACAGTGTGTGTTCTGTCCAATGGACTCGGGAAGGTTCATATATATCAATTGGTACAACTCTTGGTCAAGTTCAGGTAACTAATTGTTTCTCTCATATCATGTTTTCTGCATATGACATTTATTTGTTAAACAAGATTTTTGTTGAGCACTTTTGGCCTGTTTCACAGGTATGGGATGGTGCACAGTGCAAAAGGGTAAGAACTTTTGGTGGCCATCAAACAAGAGCTGGAGTCTTGGCGTGGAATTCGCGCATACTATCATCGGGAAGTAGAGACCGAAACATACTTCAGCACGATCTTCGTGTTTCAAGTGATTTCATTGGCAAGCTTGTTGGACACAAATCTGAGGTAAAGCTTATTGGACACAATGATGAAAAAGAAATTAAACAAGTTTATTTCAATTCATAAGAAACACAGCTGCCTTAACCTTCTATATGATCTCACAGGTATGTGGGCTGAAATGGTCCCATGATGACAGGGAGCTTGCATCTGGTGGAAATGATAATCAGGTAATAAAATCAGTTCATATGTGTTAATAGGTTCATATTTATTTATCTTTACAGTTCTACTACTAGTGATAGCAATACTAATTTAATGTGGTGTGTGCTGCTGTTGTATTAGCTCCTGGTCTGGAACCTACATTCTCAGCAACCAATTCTGAAATTGACAGAACATACAGCTGCAGTGAAGGCCATTGCTTGGTCACCCCATCAGAGTGGCCTTCTTGCTTCTGGAGGAGGAACTGCTGATCGGTGTATTCGCTTCTGGAACACTGCCAATGGTCATCAGTTAAATAGTGTTGACACTGGGAGCCAGGTTAATAATATTTTTGACATGCATATTTTTACAGGAGTGTTGCTTTGCACAGTGTTTAGCAAGAGTGAAATTCTCTTGCATAAATAGATTTAGTGCTGTGTGTGCCAATGAACACCATGCTCACTCATATTATGTTACTTGCAGGTATGCAATCTAGCATGGAGTAAAAATGTGAATGAGCTTGTGAGCACTCACGGATATTCCCAGAATCAGATTATGGTGTGGAAGTATCCATCAATGGCAAAGGTATGTACAATTTTGTCTAATGAAGTACATTTGAAAAACTAGATTTTGAGGGATTCATATAGCAACTGAGATCAGTCCATGCTACTTATCATGTTTCTGTGCAGACATTTGAAAAACTATAAAACAAGCTATCTAATGTAACATAATAACCACCATTTTTTATTATGATAGGTTGCAACTCTAACTGGCCATAGTTTGCGAGTACTATATCTTGCAACGTCACCTGATGGACAGGTTGGTAATCTTTCTTCAGTGATTAATCCTTTTATATAATTCTCTTTTAGATTCATTTGTAAAGTTCCTGTATTAGAAAATCTTAAAGTCCAATTTTATGTTATCCTGCAGACAATAGTGACTGGAGCAGGGGATGAGACTTTGCGCTTCTGGAACATCTTCCCATCCATGAAAGCACCTGTAAGTTTATGGCATTTCGATAAAAGTCAATTCTCTGAATAATATAGCTTTTGTTGCTCTCCTAATGGAGCCTTTTTCTTCTCTTTATGTTTCCAGGCACCAGTCAAAGATACTAGTCTTTGGTCATTAGGACGGACCCATATCCGATAACAAACTCTTGGCCAATATATATATATATATTATATTGTAAATTAGTTTGCATGTGGAGATACCAAAAAAGTATAGAAGCAGCTACAACCATAAATGTTATGAGGGCTTGGTATGTCTTTTTATTTAATTGGTTTTCACTTTGTGTAATTTCAAGTGTTTAGAGTTGAGAGGTTTGTAAAGTGGTCTAACCAGGAAAAAGAAAGTGTAAATGTAACAGATTTCAAGCATATGGTTTGTCTGTATGAAAGAGCACCAGTTGAGAGGGCTTGGTATGTCTGTTTATTTGATTGGTTTTCACGTTGTATATTTTCAAGTGTTTACAGTTGAGAGGTCTGTAAAGTGGTCTAACCAGGAAAAAGAAAGTATAAATGTGATTTCAAGCATATGATTAGTCTGTATGAAAGAGCACCAGTATTCCATAGAATAAAAAGTTGAATGAATATCCTGAACAGATTCTACAACTTAACATATTCTATAACATATGCCTGCTTCGAATGTTTTTATAATGCAACAAATATTACAATGACTGAATACAGCGGAAAGTACTCATCTTTTTTTTCCGATAATATGGCCTATTCATTTTCGCATTGCCAGGTGCATGTTGCTCACTTCAATTGCTGAATCTACCCTATGACTGTAAACCTTGGCAAATTAAATAAATCTCTCTGGATGATGATCTTGTAGCTTTAGGTCGCAACCATGATGCCTTTCTGAAGAGTGGTTTGCAAATCTGGTTAAATTCTGCAACAGCCCAAAGAAAATGATATATAATAAATATGCATGACCTCTTCGATATATTAACTGTTTGTTGAAGTAAATTCTCACCTTTAACATCCTCACTCTCTAGAAGCTTAATGACAAGGTGTCCACCTGGTTTCAATACACCATTTTCATCTGGATCAGAATTTAAATCATTTGGATGTTCCTCCCCTCGATCATCAACTGGATGAGCTGAGGCAGCCCGACCAACAGCCAAATCAAGTGCTCGCATCCCTAACTCAGCAGATAAAGCTGCATCTTTAGTAGTAATTCCAGAAACTGAGGGACACATATCTGAGAGTATCACAGAAAACCCTTTTTGCTGCACAAATTCATATAGAAGCAAAATTGTGTTAACATGAGAAAGAGAATTAATTTACCAGATAAGGTCACCCCAGCATAATGGAAATGAGGAAAAACACTGCAATATGAACACACTGCAGAGATACAAAATTCATATGGAGTGACATTGAAACCATAAGAGTAAGGACACACCAAAATTTAGACTTAACTATTGAAGGCTCAAGTACACATTTGAAATTCCTTTGGTCATACTTCCAGTACATAGCTTTGATTCAAAGGTTATGATGCCACTCCCATTTAACATAAAACCGTGCCCAAAATTCCTTTTACATTAAACCTTGGTATTTAAAAGAAACAAAATATGTAATTGCCTTGTAATAAGGATGTAGATTAATCATTCAAAAATAATCCACGAAATTTTAAATCAAAAGCATAAAGGATGTAATTTTATGCAACCAGTTTATAAGATCAGNAATATGAACACACTGCAGAGATACAAAATTCATATGGAGTGACATTGAAACCATAAGAGTAAGGACACACCAAAACTTAGACTTAACTATTGAAGGCTCAAGTACACATTTGAAATTCCTTTGGTCATACTTCCAGTACATAGCTTTGATTCAAAGGTTATGATGCCACTCCCATTTAACATAAAACCGTGCCCAAAATTCCTTTTACATTAAACCTTGGTATTTAAAAGAAACAAAATATGTAATTGCCTTGTAATAAGGATGTAGATTAATCATTCAAAAATAATCCACGAAATTTTAAATCAAAAGCATAAAGGATGTAATTTTATGCAACCAGTTTATAAGATCAGTTACTTTTTATTATTGTAAGAGATAATCCTATACACTTTGCACATATAGGAAAATTGGTGTTGCTATAATTGAAAAGAAGAAAGATAGAGAGATAATGAGATTGTATGGACATTCATATAGGTTGAACCATAAACATAAACAATAAGCAATGTGATGCTGACATATTAATGAAACTCTTAAATACCTGCTATAGAATATTTATTGAGAATGATATTTATCAAAAGATTTAGCATACTGACAAACAATTTGAAGACAACTAAACTGACAAACAAATTGATCATCAAAATACCTTAGGGGAGAGCGCCCTAACTTGAGTTTTGGGCAGATTCAATACATCTGCTGAAAAAGTTTGAACCCTTGCATCACAGTGAAGAGAAGGAACCTTCACCTTCTGCTCTGCATATCCCACATGTCAAAAATCAATTCTTTTCACTGAAAACAAAAACTTTGATCAAATTGTTCAATTGCACAAGGAAAATGGCAAAACTTTAATAAAATTAACACCTTAATATCAATGCCCACAACAGTCCCACCATTTTTTAGTGGTCCCAAGCTCTGGCAAGCTACCTATAATTCGTTCAAAAAGATATAAGAAAAAAAAAAATCTTAAAAAAAAAAAAAAAAAAAAACATAACAGCATGAATGGTGAAGAGATAGAGAGATTATGGAGAGTCCAAAGCGGACAAAAAAAAAAACCTGAAGCCAAGCACCCGGGGCGCAGCCGAGATCAAGAACTGAAGAGCCTGGTTTGATGAGCTTGTGTTGCTTTTGTATTTGAAGGAGCTGATATTGAAAGACATAAAGACAACAACAAGTGAAATTAATGTAAAATAAATAAATAAATGGAAAGGAAAATGAACTATAAACCTTAAAAGCAGAGCGAGCAACGTAGCCAAGGCGTTGAGCCTCTCTGTAGAAGAAGTCCGGTGCTCCTGCACCGCTCATCTCTCTCACCTCACCTTAAACCCTGCTCTCTGTTCAAGGATTCGAGGGGTTTTGCTTCATTTTGTTTTTTGTTTTATTATAAATAAAATTTACAAAATTATATTAGAATCCCGGGGTTTGGATTTGGATTCGATCGGGGTCGGGTCGGATGGGTAAAAAGTAGCTATCCTAAACCGGAGTGGACGATAATGGATCATTGGGAATAATTCTAGTTCTAGGTTCATATTACTTAATAATAAATCTTTATTTTACTAATTAATCCACCAACTATAGATGCTCCTTTTCATTTGAGGTGCAATTGCAAATGGGTATTTCCAGAATTCTTATTTTTATATTATATGATATTTGTTTAAAATTTAAATTTAAATGCTTTTAAGTTTTTGTTAATATGAAAAATATAATATATATAGGGGTGAATAAGAAATCCAAGTAAAAACGGAACCAGTGGATACCCGAAATCGAAACTGGAACCGGCATGGAAAGGGTCGGTTTTAGTTCCAAATTTGATGGAACTGGTACTTTGCGGTTCCAATTCTTGTTCCAGTTCCACCACTTCAAGAATCGAAACCGGAACTAGGAACTAGAATTGGAACCAAGGTCCAGGTGCCCAGAGAGTATTTGTAATTTTTGTAAATTGTTGGAAGTGTATTTGTAATTTTCACAAGGTATATTTGTCATTTTTGTGCATAGTAGGGGGTATTTGTAATTCTCCCTGTTACTTGGAACCGATCGGTTCCGGTTCTTTGGAAAAAGGGTGGGTACCCGGACCCAATCACCTTTATATATATACTTTATATTGTTTGTCCCTATTAGAGATGGCAATAGGCTGGGCTGGGATCGAGTACCCCTTGGCCCAGGCCCAAGCCTGACCCCATGACAAAGGCCCAGTCTCGGCCCGAGCCTGACCCCATGACAAAGGCCCAGTCTCGGCCCGAGCCTGTCACAAGGATGACGGGTAAAGCCCAAGCCCGGCTCAACATGCTTTTTGTAATCTCAGTCATGGCCTAAGTCCGCCTATTTTTATAATGTGATTTTTTAAATATTAATAAATTTTAATTTTTTTTATATTTTTAATTTTAGAAACAGTTTTAAATATTAATTTATTTTTTAATACTCACCAAATATTAATAAATTTCAAATATTTTTTTATATATGTAGGATAATTATGTAATTAGATATATAGTATAAGGGTAATTTAGTAAAATTAATAATAAAATTGTCGGGCCAGGATTGAAGACATACCCATGCCCGACCCGTACCTGGGGGCAGACCTTAAAATCAATCTCAAACCCAAGTCCGCTAACACCAGGTAAAACCTGACCTTTTTGAGATAGGCCGAGTTGGGTACCCGAAAATACTTGGCCCATTGCCATCCCTAGTCCCTATTCAATACTTGCCAAAAAAAAAATTGAGAGAATATATATTTATGTGTTGAAACTTGAATCCAAGCCCTCCAATATATGGATTCCAATTAATTAGCAAAAATGATTGGAAATTTGTCAGTTTGAAATAAATTGTCCAATTGGGATTAATCTTGACTAAAAGTAGTGAAAGGCATATTAAATGGTATTCATAGTACAATCAATGTGGTTATGCATAAATGCACGCAAAGCTCGGAGTCAAACCCAACTAGATCTCCCCTTGTATAAACTAATGAAAATATGTCAAACTTCCTGTATAGGGTTGTAAAATACCAATTAGTTATTGCATTACATAACATTAATAGGGTTGTATTATTTAATTAATTATTCCACTAATCTTGCCACAACTAACACTAATTTGTAGCATTATACTAAACCCTAATTAAAAACATAGAAGTCAATGAGGTTGAGCCATTTACGTAACCCATGACATAAAGCAAATGCAATATAGACAGTTATACAGTTGACCATCTCCACTATTTGAAGGTTATCTCGTACTAGATTATTGAACAAGGTATGACTCAATTCTTTTGTATGGTTCAAAAATTTTCTTGTTTTTTAAAAACACCAACAATTCTTGATTCTAGTATACTCCAATCAAACTCCTGGCTCAAATTGCTCCTTTTACGCTATACCTAAAAGGCTCAAACACATATTTAGTACAAATAATAATACTCACTTGGTCAGCAAACATGAGGAGAAACCGTAGCCACCAAAATTTTCAACTAAAGAGACAAACACCGACACTCTAGAATACACCAATCATGCATGTGCTAGAGAATAGAGATAGATAAAGGTGATGGGTCCTTTTCTTTAACAAGAATGAATCCCCTTTGACATTTGTTTTAACTCATAAATGATGGTAATGCATTCAGTTTGTGTTTAACTCTTAAATCCTCAAAACCAAAATAGTTTTAAATGTAAAGCTAAAGAAAAAGAAAAATCTAAAACAACAAATAACTATTCTTATTAACTTTTTTCAAAATCGTTTACAGTGCTACTGATACAAACTGCTAGGATTAACTAAGTACAGTGCTTTCAAGAGGTTTGCATTTCTCCAAGCTTTTGACATCCTGAAGCTGCCTGGTGTCTGTAGATTTCCCTCAGAAGCATATACATATAGTTATGGTTTCAGAAACAGGAAGTGCCAATGCAAAATATATAACATGAAGCATTCTGCGTCGTTTCTGACAGAGTCGATTACTGCCATTGAATTGGGACTAAATTTTGCAGAATGAAATGAATCAGCTTCCGAGATTCCGCTGCCATAACCTTCCCAGCCAATACAATAGATATAACTATTAATATTAAGTTGTTCAACATTGCATACAAGGTAATGAAAAGAAGGATTTTAAACATAAATATTAGTACCTCAGGCTGCAATGTGGGGAGAATCCCACAATCATGCCTTCAATGAGTGATGGTGAACATGCATTTAACAAGTTGGCTTCCAAGACGAGAGTGCAAAAACAATTCGGCCCTTCCAGCCCTGAAGCAACCACCGGCCATCTTCGTCAATTACAAAATCCTTGTGGTAGTATGCTTCCACTCTTTCCTTGGCCATCTTCATTATTTCCTTATTCAGCGGGAGCTGAGTAAACCCAGCCCTCCTGGTCCGGTACTGCCACTGCTTGAAAGTTTCTGGTCTTTCAATCCTCTCTGCATCCTCACATGCAATGACATTCATTGCCTCTCGCCCCAATAGCTCTCTCTCCATCAGCATCCGCTCTGGAATATCACGAGGCAAAATGGTTTCAAACATGTCAAACAAAGTTGAGAAAAAGAAGACAGCCTCTCTGAATCTAGTGATAAAGAAGGGAGCACTGTAGGCTCCATTCACAATCCCTTGTATGAAAACATCAGGATGTATCTTCCTGATCAGGTTTAAAACAGTATCCCTTGGAGCCTCTGCAACCACAGTCTCATCAAGCAGATTTTTAAGGCGATACAAACAGTTTACGACAAGCACTTCACCACTCTCAATCTTGAGATCCTCAACTTGAATTGTGTCCCACTTTTGCGCAATTGCATTGAATTCAAATGGAACATTAAAAGTTTCTGCATACTTTTCCAAGCGGCGACCTGTCTCCTCAACCCTTTCCGCTGGTCGGAAACCTGGTTGTGGGAGTTCAATCCCAGTTATCCGAAGTCTAGGAGGTCCCCCTTGCCTAGACGAAAGACGCTGTATGAGGCATGGCCATTGGAAACCATACATAATACCAAAATCTATTATGTGAAGTGTTGTTGCTTTCTCAGCTAAATTCATAATTGTTTTGTTTGAGAAGAAATTTGAGAGCTTCCGAAATGGACAAGCAGCAAGAAACAGATGGTACGCTTTCAAGACATCAGCAGCTGATGCAGCTCGCAAGTTGATAAGATTATTGTAAACCTTGGTTCCAGCACCAGCCAAGCGTGCCTCAAGTCCATCAGCAAATATATGGGCCATTCTCTGCATTCCATCCCCCGTAGAAGACGAGTGCTGTCTAATTTTCTTCAGTAGCTCATCTGCATTCCTTCTATCATTGGCTGCAACAGCTTGTGCACAAAGGGTCAGCAGATTTCTCAAATCAACCACATCCTTTTTAGCTCCATGCTTCTTTCCACGGCCCTTACCACCATTAGGCCCTTTTGGTTGTCTACTATGCTGCACATTCTTGCTCATCCCATTCTGCAAAGCTTTACGAATCTGAGATTCACTCTCTTTAGGACTTAGCAATACAATATCAAACATTTCTTGACTCACTGTTGATTCGGTATAAACTGCTGACTGCTTATTATTTCTCCCACTCTCTAAATTGACATCATCACTGTAAGGATTCTTCCTTCCTCGTGAACCATCAGGAGAGCACCCATTCTCGGGCTTCCTGCCCACCTTATCTACCACATTCCTAGGTTCTTCATTTGGCTCTTTAGATGACAATCCGTTATTTTCCACAGGAGTGATCTAGGAATTCCCATTAGGTAGAAACTTACTCGCCTCCTCAAACCCTTTCCTAAGTTGCATCAGAGACTCACTATTGCTAAATATTTGGGATATATTAAGAGTACTCACCGGGGAATCCACAAACCCATCAGCTACATTACCACCGCTGTTCCCCGAGCCATCAGACGTCTGAGAAGCTAAATTTGAACCCGTATACTCACCCAAATCACAATTCCATCCATGATCCACCAAGCCATCACTATTAGTATTTCCAATACTATTGTTAAAGCATGAAAACTCCAAATCATGATTTACACCTAGGCTTTCATGGTTTTGATCAACATGAATTTTCGGGTCAAATTTGGGTGAAGGAGGATACTTCTCCCCAAGAAGCTCATACAAAGACCTCTCAGCAGCTTGAAGAGCTGCTGAAGACTCTTGAAACATACAGGCCTTCTCTCCAATGTCCTCTTCCATAAGCATATCATTTATGTACCTAAGAACTACATCATTAAAATCATAATCCTGATCATGTGAATTTCCCTCTTGAGACACAAACGAAGAGGGTGGTGTTGGATTATCAGGAATTGGATCAGGTAACAAAAACTGCATATCTTCAAAGCTAACAAAACCATCATTAACTTTGAATCCATTACCAAGATTCTGATTGGGTAAGGTCAAAAGGGTCTCATCATTAAGCCCGTATTGATTCACAGAACCATTGTATCCTCTCAACTCATGATCCATGACCATCTATTTTGTAAAAAAGACAATAAACTAGAACCAAAAAGTTGAAAACTTTCAAACACCAACAAGTCAAAACGCATACAAAGAAGGAGCTTCGGCAACAAAAGGAACACCTGCGACTTCTATCTAGAGACTCAAAACAAGAACTTGACAACGTGAAAGATGTAAAAAAAGAGAGTTTTCAACTTCACAGAAACACATGAACCTCAGAGTTTATAGATGAAGTACCTTGCCCGAGAGAGGCATATCAAATCTCGCTGCTTCGGTGAGTGTTTGAATAGTTATGATTTGGTCATGAAGTTTTAAGTTAAATATGACAGACGATGAAATGAAACGAAAAGAAATGTTGTCATGACGATGACGAGGTGGAGAAATCTCAGCCGTCCAGTGTTTCGATAGCATCTAACCCAAGTAGTTTAGACTAATACGTGATTGGTCGGAGAAATTAACAAAAACTTCTCCAAAGACTTTCGTACAAGATGATGTGAAATTAACAAAATTAACTGTCACATTATCGTAAAAAAAGAGGAGGAGATTGATGTTAAACTGATGGTGCGGTAATTACCACGTATAAAGACTTTTTTTTATACATCTAACATTTCTCGATTAATTTAGAGACTAAACTAAAAGTTTGATCACTTTAAATATAATTTTTTTTTAATTAATATTAGATAAACTCCAACCTTTTATGGGATTTTTTTTTTTTTATATATAATTCAATTAGCTTCATTTTTTCTTCTTATAATTATGAATTTTACATTATATAATTAATTTAATATGGTAATGGGTGACCCCAAAGGTTAGCGTAATAATTAAGGAGGTTCATCACAATATTATTGAACACCCAACAATAAAGAATCTTTTAAAAAGTGTATCTATGTAAAGACAAGATTAAAGAATTAAAAGTCCATGCTAATCCTCTCACTGCTTAATCATCTAATATGTACTTGTTTTTACTATAAATATGGATAGATATATATAAGTGATGTCAAAATTTGAATATGAACCAAGTCTATTTCCAAATTAAGACACAAAGGGTCTTTTGGACTTCAATTTGTTCTTCAAATCTAGAAGAAAATAGCTCAAATGGGAGGAAAAATGTGGACTAAATTAAATGTGTTCACATTATAGTGCGTATAAAACAAAAAAGGAAGTGGGGTTTGTACGAAATTCTAGCAGTTATATGGGTAGAGTTGTGTCACATTTTTGGATGGGTCCATTCTTAAATTCATTGTCAAGTCATTGTCTTCAATAAGTCACATGCTTTCCTCTAGAACATTTCATGATAAACAAAAAGAAAAATGAATGGACATAAAATAAAGAATAATACTATAGTCATCGAAATGAGCACACCAAATTCATGCATCAAATGATATAACGTAATCCTAATTGTTGATTAATATTAATTATTGAATGGTCAGAATTGTGCCATGTTATTCGATGTATAAATTCGGTGTACTCCTTTCGGTGACGGACTGTATTATTTTCCTAAAATAAATTAACATTATGATTGGAAGAATTGGGTGGTAAGCTTCTTCAACGTACACATTTATTTGGTCCAGTGCAAATTTTGAAGAAGAATAATACTGTACGTACTAACGGATTTTACTAACCAATGTACTAATCTTTGTTAAAATCACACATAGTATCTGTACTATGCGCATGATACCCATACTATGCTTTAAGTTAGTACACTAATTTATAGAATCCATTAGTACCCATAGCATTACCCTTTTGAAGAATAATAATACTACACATACATCATTTTTATACAATATTTCCCATACAACATTATGTGACAAGATATGATTGGGTAAAAGTTTAATTTTAACTTTAAATTAGTTAATCATATCTTGTCACATAATGTTGTATGAAAATGATATATGTGTAGTATTACTCTTTGAAGAAATAACGTGCACGTGTGTGTTGAATCAAGAGGGCGGATGAGTTGTTTGATTGTACAACTTAAGACTGACGAGACAAACCCAGCCGGGGTCCATATTCTCGAAGCCAGCCCAAATCCACCCCGGTGATATGCTGTAGAGTTAAGCCCAATAAGACTTGCCTATAGTTGGGCTTAAATCTTGTGATTTGGTACCCTCTCAAATTCATCTGATTTTAAAAATAAAAAACTCTAGATCTGGATCTAGGAGAATCGCATGTGCGTAGGCACATGCTATACAGTAGATGGGTAGCGTGCATAAACAGCTATAGTTGTTGCCTTTGCTTATTGTATAATAATAATCGATTTGATTCATGCGAGGCAGAAGCAGAAACGGATTTCACAAGAAACTAACCAACGAACTAATTGACTTTTCCCCAATTCGCTTGCTGTAACGTGCTGGGAACCAACTATATACAATACACCTACCAGCACCGGCAAACTAACTTCCCTTTCTCAAGTCTCAACTAGCCAACCAACCTTGGCTTTAACCTCCACGACTGCCAAATTCCTTTAGTTTCGTCTTCAAAGAGAATTCATCCTTAAATGTTAAGATTTAATCAAATTGACTTGGTTAAAGATTGAAAGCAAATTTAGTTTTAACAGAAATGGCTGCATAGAATGTTGTTTAAAATAAAAGAATGAATCTAGAAATGAAGTATTAGATGAAAGAATGTAAAACTACATTAGCTGTTCTAGTTCTTCATTCCTCAAAAGTTCAACAAATATGAATTACAGCAATTGAATCAATTAAAACTGTGAGTTTGGTTAGAATGATCTTATTTTCACCAAATCATTTACAAAAGCCGGCCATGAATCATGTAAGTGTGAGAATATTACATAATTTTGAATAAATTTTGTACAGTTTTCGTTTTCACTGTTCCTGTCCACAATTTACCTTTCTTTTTACATCATCACAATTAGATAGCAGGTATTCCATCTTCCTCGGCCTGGCCTTCAATTTTCAGTATTCCAGGATGATGCTTGCCTTGCTGTTTTGCCTGATGCTGAGACCAGTAAGCGTGGGCTGCCAAGACTCTGTCCAACAACTCCTGGGGTACAGGCTCTCCCCTTCTTTGTTGAGGAGCTATTCTTGCAGTATGAACCAGTGTTTTCCATTTATCCTGCATAAAACCGAGAATTATGAGCAAATATCAATAACGGACACCTCTACACGTAGAATAGAAGGATGATTGAAGAAAACAGTCAAACTAAAAGAACTTAACAAGCAGTACAACCAAAAAAGTTTGCAGTCTTATCATTTGGTTAAAGGTCAAAACCTTCAATCCAAGATACATATAAACTCTCTGGCATCTGCACTAAAAAAGTTCGAAGAAGTTTTCTAACCTTCAAGTCCACATAAGTTCGATGATCAGCATCCTCAAAAGAACGCAATTTGACATCACGCCACCTGCATTATGAGTAAATCATTTTAATTCAAAACATCATGAAAAGACATGATTGAGCGAAGGAGGAAATAAGCAAGTAAAGCATAAAGAAAAGAACAGCAGAGGAGAACATCACACCTCCCAGTTCCAAGTTCCTCAACAGCCTGCACCAGTGCTTCTACTTCTGATACAGAAAATGGTCTCCTGGTTCGACGCTGTGCAATGTCAGTTCGCCTAATTTTATTGTTCACAGGAACCACAGCTAGTGCCTCAACTTTAATCGGTGGAACAGCAACTATAGCTCTCGAATCTGACAAACTTGTGTCAGGTAGTAAGTCAGTGTGGGGGGTCATGGGTTCATGATTACTTTCTACATGGTTTTCTTCACTGGTTGGAGGACGAGGGTCAGGTAAGGCGTTAGGAATGGCTGAATCTAAAGCAGGAGTCAAGGGAGACCTGTAAACACGGCAATATTCATCAATTTAAGTAACAAATGACTGATTAATGTATCTAAACATGATCCATCCTTATTTATCTAACAGACATTAATAAACATGGGTCATGATAGGTGAAGAATTAAGATGAGAATAAACATAAAAGAAAACAAATCTTCCATGTACGCTGAATTTTAGACATTGATGAAAAATATTGAAGATCTTTTCAAGTTTCGAAATAATGCAAAATTGACTAGCATATACATTCCAATTCAGGAACAGGATCTTTCAAATTACCTTGGTGCAAGTTGGGGTGTGTCACATGGTAACGAAAGTGGAGGATCTTCAGCACAGCACAGAGGTGGGGGGCCTTGCACAGGACTGGGCTCTAAAGTGAAACCCAGAGTATCAAGACTGTCTTCAGAAGAAATACCAGTTTGTGACAGAGTTCTGTTGTCATCTCTAATCTTCTTCCCATGAAGAAGTACTCCCACACGTAGTCCACCACCAAGTATAGCAGTCACTGCATCCATTACTGTCCTCTACAAAATTTAACAAAACAAAAATGAAACAATCTAGAAACCTCAGTGTTCAGAAGACTACAGAAATTTACTGCAGAAACCTATTTAGATTTGGATACCACTTAGTAGCTCATTTGCGTAACAAAAACCAAACATATTTTTCCATAAACAAATAATATGCCGCTTATCATTATAATTAAGTTTAGCCAGCCTGATTAGTCTTGCACAGGCTATAATACAATAGGAAATTTCTCTTATAAAAGAACTATGATTCTGCAGATGCTGCAATGTAGAATTAGGCATCTAGACTATTTTCACCAAAATGAACAAAAATAAAGTCTCTCTTAATACCTTCAGAGAACCAACAGTAGCAGTTTCTGAGACCTCAACAAAAATCTCTGGAACCTTGAAGGATTTAATGCTGAACTTTACTGCACGAAGGAATATACACGTAAGAACTCTATACGAAAGCACATAAAAAATCAAAAGAGTAATGTACATCAGTCCATTATACCCTCTAGTTTCATACCATTAGAATCCTTGGAGAGGAGAGATGTTTGATGACCTGCAACTGAAGATATCACCACACTTGCTGCATGGAAGAATTATGATTTTTTAGCAACCAGAAACCCTAAATCCTTAAGATGAACATAAGAGGATGGGATAATGAGTAAGGGGGAGACCTCCATGGGACATTGGGGGTAAGCGTCTTTTGTCTCCATTCCTCCCCTTCTCAGGTGAATTTGTAACACTTTCACTGCTGAATCCCCCATCGAAAGTATCTAGTGAGTTGTGACCATAAAATTTCCTCCTCTTATGAAGAGCATCACGCTGACACCTCTCACTGTTGTAAGGTTTCCTCTTGCGATGTAGAGGCTTTACTCCACCATCTAAAAAGTAAACAAATGAATTTCAATTTATTAATAATTCATGAAAATTGGTCTTCTGAATAACAATAAGCAAATATACTTCAACTACATGTGTCAACAAACATGCACACACAACAAGAGATGCAACAAACAGTACAATCAAACGATAGATCCTGCTCACCAGCTCTAGAAAGTTCAAAGTCCTTCAATTTTGGAGCTGTTTTCCAGTATTTAGATGTCAGCAATTTCCTTATTCTTCGATCTCTAATACGTGTCACTGGCCTATATACCTTTAACTTGTTGCTAATTTTGCTGGTCCTAGATAAATTATCGTCGTCATCTCTAACACCTAACTTATTGGCATTCCTATGCCTTGAATAAAGGGAATTAGAAACACGGTTCCTGCATGATGGCAATTTGACATCTCTGTCAGAATTGATCAATGCTGGAAACGTCACACGCAGTTCTGTTGGATCCCTTGAACTGCATGTTTCAGCTCTATTCAGACCTCCTTTCTCCATACCTTTAGTCTCCAACTGTTGTTCAAGTACATTCTCCATGCCATTATAAAATGACTCCCCAAAATTTGGGGAGCCTCCCTCCACTTTACTTGGAATATTCACATTCATTATATTGCTTTTGTAAATTGCATCACCCCCTATATTGCCCGAGAAACCAGAATCAATAACTTTTGAAGTGCGTTCCAAGATGTCATCATCTTCAGCAAGTGGGAACTCATTTAATGAGCACTTCTGGTCACAATTTTGTGACGCTGACTGAGAGACGACGACACTCCCTTCACAGCTTCCCTGCTCAAGGCAATCTGTTTTCAATGGTTTATCTTGAAATTGGCATCCATCTTGAACAGCATCTTTACCACTGGCAGTATGATCATTTCCTGATGCATTACTAGAAGCAGAAGAACTTTCAGACTCCTGCAATAACTTTCTGGCTAAAGAAGCCAGCAAATCAAAAGCACAGATTTCACTATCCTCATCCGTCTTCTTAAGTTGAGCCCTCCTCTAGAAGAACAACCAAGTAAGAAAAGAATTCAGCACTAAGCAATGATAATTTTTTTGTAAAGAAAAGGAAACAATAGATAATTCAACAATATATACCCTGTTTGATCGAGGAGCCTTAGGAATAGTGGCAACATGGAACCCATTAAGACCATGATCAAGCCCCTTCTTCAACTTCATATCTCAAAAATGCATACAAATGATAACTCATCAAACATAAAGATGTGAATTCATCAAACAAAAAGGTGCCTCACCCCAGATTCCGCTTCACTGTAATATCAGAAGATAACCATGTATCAGTCATAACTTTAACTGCCAGTTTGGACCGCAGATTTAAAAAATGAGATCCAACAGAATTATGGATCCTGTCTTAATTTCTTTAAACAGAATTACAGATAAGCTACACGCTAAACATTTAAGATTGGAAACATGTGTCCACATACACTCGTATATGCCAGTTGACATTCTATTCTATAACATTTCCCTCCATTTCTCAGCGACCAAACAGATCCATCCATAAATTAAACCAAAATGAACATACAGAAAATCATGAACATGATCAACAATCCTCAATTAACAATTTTTTCCAGAAAATAACCAATCATCATGTCAAACTGCCTACGCAAAACCCCGATCAGACGTTAATGGAAAATAACAAATAGCTGCATTTTTCTTTTTTGCATAAATTTGATACAACTCTCCATACAATCACCTACACAGAATTGTTTAAAATAGAAATTTAAAAAAAGTCCAAATCACATAAAACAATTCCATGCTAAAAGCAGTAACAATTACAATTCTGAAGTCAAACAAGTCATAACAATAATTCAAAGAACAAAATCCGAAAAAACAAAACTCAATTGTTCATTAAGCCGAATCCAAATCACCATAGCTTGAACAACCAAAATTGTGATCAAAATCAACCAAGAGATTCTTAACTTCACGGTCAGATCCCGATCGCAATCACGGTTCAATTTCGGTTCTCATCGTGATTTTCACCACGTGATCAGATTCAACGTTCAGAAATGAAAACAGAACAAAAAATTCACCACAAAATCCAATCAAATTCAACAGAAGAAAATTGCTCAACTAACTAACCTGCTGAAGCAACGATCAAATTCAAATGAATGACTTAAATGTTTAGTTTTACAGAAATTCTCTCTCTGAAATTCTGTTACTTTGTTCTGTTTTTCTCTCTCTATAAAATGGACAAAAGCCTCTTGAAAGAAGTATATTGCTTAAACCCCTTATTAGTTATTATATATGTTTTGAATTTTTCTTTTTTCTATTGGCCACGAAACCGGACGGGTAGGTAATCCGGGGTAGCCACCGCTGATATCCAGTTAACCAAAACCCTCTCTCTGGACCACTTCTTGTTAAGGCAAAGAAGTTTTGCCACGTGGAGATGTCTCAGATTGTACGAAACCTTTGTGCAGATTTCTTATACATAGGGATAAGATTAAAAAGAATTTAATATTAATATTTGGATGAAGCAGAAGAGGGTCTGCTGCGCATGAGCCTATATTGTGAACTATGCGGCCTCCATTGTCATTGGTCCACGTCTGATGGAATAAATAATAGGATATGCTCAGTGTAGAATCATGATGCTTAACGAAATGAAAGAATATATCATATCCAAGTTTGATAAGCAAGTTTGTTTTATTATTTTTGATAGAATTTTGTGAATAATACTGGGTAATTAAATAAGATAAGTATTATGAGATAAATTTTAAAAATTAATAAAAAACCCCTTAAGTTTGGTAATTTAACTAAATACCTAATATATAAAAATTTTGTAAAATGAAAAAAAACACCTCTACTCACCCACAGTGTCAGATTCCGATAACCACCGTTGAAATTTGGTCGAAAAATGGTGTTACGATGTAGACCGACCGGATCTGGCTGATCGTGCATTGATATGGCCTTTTTCGGCCAGATCTACCACAGATTTAGCCGGAAAAGACCAGATTTACGGTCAGATTTGGTCGTTAACGATCGCAAAATGCCAGATTTGGCCGTCAGCGACAACCACAAATATGGCCGTCGCTGACGGTAGATCTGGCCTTCTCTGACCATATCCACTGTGGATCTGACCGGAAAAGGCCAGATTAGCAAATTACTGGCCAGTTTTAGTCGTTTTTAAGCCAGAATCTGGCAACTATGGGTGGGTGGGGGTGTTTTTGTTAATTTTTAAACTTTTTTTTCTAAGGGTGTTTAATTAAATTAACAAATTTAAGGGGTTTAAAATTAATTAAAAAATAAAATAATATTTCTCAAAGAATAAAACAAACAAGTATTTTGGGAATAGGATTGAGAATATGGATATGAATAACAAAACAAACGCACCCGAAAAGGTCCCAACCGTTCCATTAATGACACGTGTATTTTGCATTTATAAATACGATTTATTTAATTAAAATTATGATAATGTTTTCATTTGTCACACTTTATTGTTAAAGGTCCTAGTTTGTGAGACCAAATATTTCTAATTAATATTTAGATGATCTAAATTTATTCTCAAAATGCGGGTGATTAATAATTATAATGTTTAGCATAAATATAATTTATTGTATGTCAACCTTACTTGCCTCGTTATTTCATCTTGATGACTATGACTTATCCAAAAGATAAATTTTGACAATTTGACCTTATATAATTGACATTCAAATTTGTACTTTAGCTTATCCATTTAGTCTAATTTGTACGTCCAACGGAAAATATACAAATAAATTAATTAAATGTTAGATGCGAGGAAATTAGCTTATAGTTGTACCTAATCCAAACTATAAACGTGTTTAAAAGGAAAGTTCAAAGTTTGGTAATTTAATTCTAATCTACCTTTACACATATGTGACTAAAATTAAATTAATTTATCAATATTTTAAACTCTTTAAATCAAAGATTAACGTTTTTCAATATCATGATGATTAAATATATAATTAATAATTTGGTAATAAAACTCCCAACTAATTAATCATCCTGTTTGACCTGAAATTATTTATTACATGAATTAGTTGCTTAATATGGGCGTGTAATAACTAAAACTGAGAAACAATACTAATAAATAACAAGAGTTAAATGCTTAATTAATGACCATTAATTAGTGCATCTAGTCAATCTTAAATACTTATCTCAGAAAAGTGACATGTGGAATTAACTACGTCTGGGACTTAAACTCTGACGCTGACGGTGCACTAGAGCTTTGTCCAATCAAACGTAACCAGTGTCAGGAGATGAGCCAAAAGTGATTTGACGGTGTCAGTTCCAAGAAAGTAAAGTGATGGTAGTTAAGGTGTGTTTGGCTTTGTGTTGCTGTTTTTTTTATTTTTTTATTCGAATTTTTTTATTATTTTATTTTGGTGTGTC